GAGATATATATGATATATATAGATAGAGAGCATATAGATAGAGATATAGATAGATATATATATATATATGTATATATACACGTACATAAACAGAATCACATGTTTATGTACGTGTATATCTATATATATTATATATATATCATATATATATATATATATATATGTATATATACACGTACATAAACATAGAATCACGGAAACGAAATGTAGTACATCGTTATTCGAATATTCGTACATTTTCGAAGTTCGCTCAAGTATATACTTTCGAGACTACAACTGGAATATTAGTCGAAATATTAAAGATCTACACACTTTCCAATATGACGTTGAATCACTGACCGGACGTACAGCGATATCGGATTGTTCGCCTGCGATAATAGTATGGCCGCTATTAATGGGAAATGTATTTAAAAAAAACTTCTACACAATTTCCGATATGACATAGTGTTCCAGTCACTGTTGGTTGTCAGAGCGCTACGTGGCACATTTGCTCTAGAGTCACAGTGTCACTTTGTACCTAAGTCTATCCAGGTCTGGTATCCCAGAAAAGAGACTATTTTAACCAATATATGACATAGTATCGCACACTGAACGTACACCAATATCGGAATGTATGTCCGTACTTTTTCGAAGATTGCCTGCGAAAATAACGTCTCCGCTACTAATGGAAAATGTGTAAATATGGGATGTAAACAATTTCCAATACGACCTACTAATTCGGACTGAACGTACAGTGATATAGGTATATTCGTACATCTTTAAACATTTACTGCGAAATTAGTGTCGACACTACATATGGAAAATGTGTCTAACATATATAAAATATACACTATTTCTAATATCCCATAGAATCGCTGGCGGAAGGTCCGGCGATATCGAATTGCACGTATATTTTCATATATCGTCTACGGATATTGTTGCTTAGCTAAAAATGTAAAATGTGACGGAATACGAATTTACACAATTTCCGAGTATAGAGATTTCGTTTTTCTTGCCGTGCCCGTTTAGAAATTGTGTACAAGTTTTGTTTTATTTTACTCGAGCCCTTATAGGAAATTGTGCGATTGATGCCGCGCTTTTCGAAACGCATCATATAAATGTAGCGTATGTATTGAACGATGATAAAGAATGCTGGTTTGTGAAACGGCTTCGAGCTCGGTAGACGGTGTGTGGATAGTGAGTGAGGAGGAGGATGAGGAGGAGGAGGAGGCGCAGCAACTCGAAAAAAAACGGTCGCTCGCGTCCCTCCCTCGCGTGTCCTTCCCTCGCGCACATACACTATCGTTTTATCTCGATGTTTCATTATGCGTATATACACATATACATATATACATATATATACGCGCGTTCCACAGCGAGATCGCGGATTTAGCTAGCGCACAGCCGTTAAGCGGTCCAAATGCGATCGAACGTGTAATATACGAAAGACGATCTTCAGCTCGCTCTTCGTAATATTTTTTCACATTTGCGACATCTCTCCTCATTCCGAGTGAGAATACGACGACGACGACAGTTGTTGTCTTTATAACCGAAACGTAGAACTATCTTTTCGATTACACCGTGTCGCTTTCAATCTAGCGAAGGGTCGAGAGAATGTTCGAAGTTTTCCACCGGTTACCGTAACGGCGCGCGCGCCTTAGTACGATCGTAGTCACTCTTAGCGACGACGACGACGACGACGAAAGCGCGCGCCCTGGTACAACCGGTATTAATACGTTAGACGTATACATATATTTATATAAACACACACACACACGCGCGCACACACACTCACACGCACACTCGTACGTGTACGCGCGCACGTCGAACACACAAATATACAAACACAATACGGTTTATTCATTTTTCCCGTGTGTGTATACATATTTACGTGTGTGCATGCGTGCGTGTTCACGGCGGGCGGATGGTGTGTGTGTTGTCGTTGTATTGTGTGCTGTGTGCTGTTCGTTGACAGCATAATATAAACGTGTATGTGTGTATGTTTTGTCTGTATCAGAATTTGAAAGCGCGTGGCGCTCCGAAATTTATTTTCCGGAGCGCGCTTCACACGCATCTCTCTTTTGATTACAACAAAAAAACACCCGCGTGTAACAAACACACTTTTTCTATATCGTGTTACGCACGCGACGTTTTTTTTTTGCTAAACGCAACAGCTCCCTGGTTGATCCTGCCAGTAGTCATATGCTTGTCTCAAAGATTAAGCCATGCATGTCTCAGTACAAGCCATATTAAGGTGAAACCGCGAAAGGCTCATTAAATCAGTTATGGTTCCTTAGATCGTACCCACATTTACTTGGATAACTGTGGTAATTCTAGAGCTAATACATGCAAACAGAGCTCCGACCGGAGACGGAAGGAGCGCTTTTATTAGATCAAAACCAATCGGTGGCGGGTTCGCGCTCGTCATCGTACAACTTGGTGACTCTGAATAACTTTACGCTGATCGCATGGTCTAGCACCGGCGACGCATCTTTCAAATGTCTGCCTTATCAACTGTCGATGGTAGGTTCTGCGCCTACCATGGTTGTAACGGGTAACGGGGAATCAGGGTTCGATTCCGGAGAGGGAGCCTGAGAAACGGCTACCACATCCAAGGAAGGCAGCAGGCGCGCAAATTACCCACTCCCGGCACGGGGAGGTAGTGACGAAAAATAACGATACGGGACTCTTCCGAGGCCCCGTAATCGGAATGAGTACACTCTAAACCCTTTAACGAGGATCAATTGGAGGGCAAGTCTGGTGCCAGCAGCCGCGGTAATTCCAGCTCCAATAGCGTATATTAAAGTTGTTGCGGTTAAAAAGCTCGTAGTCGAATTTGTGTCCCGCGCCGCCGGTTCATCGCACGCGGTGTTAACTGGCGTGCCGCGGGACGTCCTGCCGGTGGACTTAGCCTTCACGGGCGGTCCAACTCAATCCCACCACGGTGCTCTTTACTGAGTGTCGAGGCGGGCCGGCACTTTTACTTTGAACAAATTAGAGTGCTCAAAGCAGGCTAAAACTTCGCCTGAATACGTGTGCATGGAATAATGGAATAGGATCTCGGTTCTATTTTGTTGGTTTTCGGAACCCCGAGGTAATGATTAATAGGAACGGATGGGGGCATTCGTATTGCGACGTTAGAGGTGAAATTCTTGGATCGTCGCAAGACGAACAGAAGCGAAAGCATTTGCCAAAAACGCTTTCATTGATCAAGAACGAAAGTTAGAGGTTCGAAGGCGATCAGATACCGCCCTAGTTCTAACCATAAACGATGCCAGCTAGCGATCCGCCGACGTTCCTCCGATGACTCGGCGGGCAGCTTCCGGGAAACCAAAGCTTTTGGGTTCCGGGGGAAGTATGGTTGCAAAGCTGAAACTTAAAGGAATTGACGGAAGGGCACCACCAGGAGTGGAGCCTGCGGCTTAATTTGACTCAACACGGGAAACCTCACCAGGCCCGGACACCGGAAGGATTGACAGATTGAGAGCTCTTTCTTGATTCGGTGGGTGGTGGTGCATGGCCGTTCTTAGTTGGTGGAGCGATTTGTCTGGTTAATTCCGATAACGAACGAGACTCTAGCCTGCTAACTAGGCGTATTTCGACATCCCAAAGGCCC